CTTGAGTTGGCAGCCTGAGCAAGAGGCGTGCTGTGTGTGTCCCAGGGGAATGAAGAGGGCGTCTGTCTACACATTGGAGAGCAGCCCAGGCAGGAGAGTGGGTGTGTGTGTGGGGGGGGGGGGGCTTCAACTCCTCTCATCAGTGGGAGCCCAAGTAAGGTGAAGAGGTCATCCACCCTAGAGGCAGTCTGGCCTGGGATGTCCGAACCACAATGAGATGAGAGGACCCACACTGTGACTAGACCAGTGCTTGAGGAGGGGCCCTGAACAAGTGGTTAGCACAGGGTTTTATTACACAGACTAATCCAGTAAGTGGTTGTGTCAAGGAAAATACAAGCTGTGTTACACGGAGGGGGAGAGAGGGACTGAGAATGAGCCTCCAAAACAAACACTGCCGTTGAGTCAGTGCTGACCCATAGTGGCCCCTGTAGGTTTTGGCTGTAGTCTCTCCGGCTAAGCTGCTGGTGGTTTTGAACGGCCAACCATGCCGATTGCAGCCCAATGAGTAACCACGGTACCACCAGGGGTCCTAGAGGATAAGGATAGTCACTAGGTCTAGTTAAATAGGCTGTGAACCCGGTGGTGATAAGTTGGGACAGGAGAGAGTGGCATGCGTTCATGGTTCTCAACACAGGTAGCAGTAGAAATGCAGCAGTGAAAGAGGAAGCCCCTCGAGGTGGTTTGACAGTGGCTGCAACGATGGGCTTACACAACAATTGTGACAGCTATGGCACGGGACATGGCAGGGGTTTTTTGTGGCTCCTAAGTTCACTGAGTCGGAACTGACTTGATGGCACCTAACAAGGTACAAATTAGAAAGAGCACCCCTATAGCAGGGAACTTGTTTGTGTCTAAATGCGCCTTCTAAACTCCACTCTTCACTAAAACAACTTGAACGAATAGCTGGTTCTGGGGCTGAGCCCAAGTACAAGGTGTGCCTGAAACATCTTGAGACAGCAAAAGAGTTCCCAGTAAATCCTAAGATCGGATCAAAAAGGATACAAAGCCATTTTGAAGTGTCTCCTAGTGACCAAGCCCAGGACAATCTGGACACCAAAAAAATGATAACATTATAACCACTGAGTAAATGAATTTATAAAAGTAAATATGTAAGTCAGAATTTAGATAAGTAATGGAATATTTATAGTTTCAGAACCCCTTCCTTGACACAAAATACTTAATGATGATAAAGGTGGAAGAGTAACTAGTGGAGAAACCTACTAGGCACCTTTTAAATTGAATGCTCAGCATAAACAGCAGTGACAGCACAAAATGAATTCGTGCACATCTGGTCAGGTGCAATGGAGAGAGACATCATCACTTTTGTGATCCTGTCCTAAGATGCATGAACCTGCATCCCAAACCAGACAAAACCATATTGAGTTATCCTATAAAATAGCGGTGAAATGTGTGAAGACATGGAAATTGTTTAAACCAACTTAAGCAAACAATTTGATCAGATGTGCAATCGAGAGACATTGATAAGTACTGGTGGTTTCCATGTGAAACCTGGTAACAAGAATCGGCATTTGGAAAACAGAACCTTGGTGAAAGAAACTATGTAAGAGACTGAATGATAAAATTTCACAAGACTGTTCATTTGAAATACCCTTTTTACAACAATGTAAACGGCAACCATGCTTTGTGGACCTCTCCAGATGGAATAAACAGGAGTTATAATCAACTACATCTGTGGAAAGAGCTGGAGAAGTTTCATATCCGTCAGAACCAGGCCAGGGTCTGACTCTGGAGTACACCATCAGTTGTTCACATGCAAGTTTTCGCTGAGGAAAATTAAGTCCATGGAAGCCAAAGTATCACCTTGAGTATAGCCCAATTTAGAGGCCATCTCAAGAATAAACACACTGTGCACAACTGGGGACCAGACGAATTGTGGAATGACATGAAGAACCTGAAGGAGGCAAGGGATCGTTAAAAAGACAGGAACGAAAGAAAATACCAAAATGGACGTCAGAAAAGACCCTGAAACTTGCTCTTGGACATGGAGAAGCTAACGTGACTGGAAGAAATAATGACACGAGAGCTGAGCAAGGAAAGTCATTCAGATTTGAATTACAGGACAGTTTTTGAAGAAAAAAAAGTTGAGCAGATTTCAAAGGGCAGTTAGGAAGACAAAAGTATTATCGTGAAGACCTTGAGTTTGAAAAGCAAAAGAAAAGAATACGGTAGTTTGGAATTTCTCATGGTGAAAGAACCGAAGAAAAAAATCCAAGCCACAAGTGACAATACTGAAAGATTCTATGGGCAAAATATTGACAGACTCAGGAAGCATTAAAAGAAGATGGAGGGTTCTCTACCTTGGCATTCATGTATGGGACAATCTTAAAGATACAAATGAACATGTGTAAATCTAACGTGATTAATGAGGTAAAAGAAGTGAAAACCATAATAGGAAGGGGAGGAAATATTGAGGAACTAGAGGGCAGTTCTGTGAGTGCTATACTACACCCTGGATTATCATCCCTTCGGTGTGGTCCTCCTGAGAGGGACTGTCCAGTGACCTTACAGATGGCTTTTGAGTCTCCATACACACCCCCTTCACATCGATTTGGTTGCTTGTTTTTAAACCATCAACACCTCATGACCACACAGGCTGGTGTGCTGCTTCCATGTGGGCTTTGTTGCTTCCCTGCTAAATGACCACTTGTTTAACCACAAGCCTTTAAGACCCCAGATGCTATATCTTTTGATAACCAGGCACCATCAGCTTTCTTCATATTTGCTTCATTACGTGAAAGCTAAGATGGATACCCCTTCAGAAACAGTAACAGGAGTAATGGTCCCCTGAAGGTACAGGAAGAGAGGGTAGAAGTGGGAATGGGAGAATAGGGAACTGAGATTGGCTGTATAACCCCACTTGATGGGATATAACAACAGAATTGTATGTGAATGGTTATATTGGATTGTGTAAGATATGGGGGGGATCTATTATAGGCGTGGGGGGGGTGGGGATGGGGGTTACTGGGGAGCTGATATTAAGGAGTTCAAGAAGAAAATGGTTTGAAACTGATTGTGGTAGCAATTGTCTAACACTTGATGTGATTGAACTATGGAATGTTATATCTGTAAGAGCTCCTAATAAAATGATTACTTTAAAAAAAAAAGAAAATGCAAAGGATACACAGAGTCATGGTACCAAAAATAATTGGTCAACATTCAACTATCTCTGTAAAAAACTGAATGTATTAAAGGAATAAGCCTAAGCCTCTCTGAAGGCATTGACAAAAAACAAAAGATTTCAGGAATTGACTGAATACCAATTGAGATGTTTTAACAAATGGAGCAATGCCAGAAGGACTCACTTCATGGCAAGAGTTAGGAAGAGAGTTACCTCATCAATCAATAGGAAGAGATCCACCATTGTGCCCATTCCAAAGATAAGGTGATCCTGAACCTCCAGAAACAAAAATGGAAAATTATGGAACAATATCATTAACATTACAACCCACAAGTAAAGTTTAGCTTTACTTGTACACTTGAC